CCAAAATTCCTAAAGGTTTTGCCAAATACAGCTAAGTGATTCATACCTGGGGTAGAAAATCCTTAGTTTTTAGAAAATTTCAAAGTTTATAATAGGACAGTTTCTCAAAAAATAAAAGAAGAAAAAGAAAAGAGAAACAGCTAGAGGTCTGAATACCTTAATGATGATGATGATTCATAATTAAATACCAAGCTCTTACTGCCGTGTCCTGAATTTAGATATAAAATGAGAAAAATCCGTGAAATTCTAATGTTAGTTGAATTCGGATTTCAAACTACCTACCTCAAGTGGTTTGTCATTGTCATTTAATCAGTAATTTGTGTGATTGAAAGCGATATTGTTGTCAAATCGGATATACAAAATCGCACCATATTGCAAATATTTAGATGCTATAAAGTTGAACTATTAAAACAAAAACAAAATGAATTTGAAAAAAATTGAAAACAACTCATTATAAATTTAATGTGTCCAAAGCGCTTTTCTGGATTTGAATTCATAGGAATGCTCAAAGCCGAATATTTGAAAGCCAAGGATGTTTAAAAAACGAAACAATTGAAATCCATCTAAGGTCAACTTTACCAGAGGGAGTTGAAACCTTAATTTCTAAAGGACAATTTTAGAAAGGTTTGTTATAAATCATGTCAGTACCGAAGAAGTACTGACTACTGAGCTGGTGACACTGTTGGGGACTGATAGTCTACCAGCAGCAGTATCACCCCTTGCTGTAAAAAAATAAAAACAACACGTTATAAAATTCATGCGTCCAAAGCGCTTTTCTGGATTTACCCTCATCAGGAACTCTCAAAGCCAAGGATGTATAAAAACCGAAACAATTGAATAGCTATATACCCAAAAGGACCTAAAAAAATTAGCCAAATCCATTTATTTAGGTCAATTTTAACTTTGCCTGAAGGAGTTGAAACCTTAGTTTCTTTATAATTTCAAAATTTATAAACGCAAAACTTTAGAAAGGTTTGTTATAAATCATGTCAGTACTGAAGTACTGACTACTGAGCTGATGATACCCTCGGTGATTGATAGTCCACCAGCAGTGGTATCATTAACACACATTTCTGTAAATAAAATCTTTTCCGAAAATTTAAAATATACTGTCAATAAACACAATCTTCAAGTATTTACTGATGGACATTTTGTATCAAATCAATCTCTTCTTCAAGTCTAACTTTTCATTTTATGAATGCTATACAAAATACAAGCAGCAGAGACTTACAAAACCATACTAAAACGGTATGAAATAACGTAGTAATTATTAATGAAAATGATAATTTTAAAATATTAATCAAGTTTTTTTGTGAGATGCAAGAATTAAAAATCCTTGTGAACAGAAATATTGTTTTGTTAATTCTCTTTTCTTTCCGACATTTGATCACATGTTGCTTATAATTGCGTCTAAAAATTATCACGGGATAAACGTTCAGAAATAATCAGTTTATTCTGGGACATAATAATTATAGTGTTTTTTTCTCAGAATGCACAATAGCACGTTGTATTAACAGTTTATTTTTTTGTTGTTGTTATTATTTGTATTATGTCATAAGTATCATGTTGTACTTATATGACAATAAAGAATTATTATTAAATACTACATACGAAACGTGTACAGGGACCGTCTCAAAACATGAATTATATTATTACTTTATCATTATACTTGATATAATTAATAAACATTCACATTAAAACGCATATGTTCTGTCAAAAGGCAAATACGTTGGAATATATAAATGATTTTTTTACTGCAATATAGTCAAATTTTTTACTATCCAATCTACAACAAAAGTTTGATTTTTACATCGCGATGACCTTGAGGTCATTCTGATGTATTGCTATCGCCTAGATTTCCATTTATGTAAATTAGTTTTGGGTTTGTAACCGATCTATAAACATGATAAATATGCGCACATAAACGAGTGCAAAATAACATTCCTTGTCATTTGATATAAATACATCTCTTCAATGAATACTGATAAAAATATTTTTGTTTACAACATAAATTAAAAATGTGAAAATGTTTTGTAGTTAGATATATATATATAAGTAAAAAATCATTGATAATATCAATGCACACGTACCGAAAAATTGTGTTAAAGCATGCGGAAGAATATCTCAAAGAACGTTTTGCGACAGGACCGGTAACTCTGTAATTGTTTTTGCGGGAAAATATGAATGCCTACTCGTATCCAATCTTAGAAAAATCGAATTTTTACAGAAAAGTGTCCACCATGCACTTGCATTGCACTATTATTAGAACAGTAGAATAGAATAATATACAAACGGAAGCAAATCATATATATATGTAACTGTTATTTTAATATAATATATAACAACAAATCAGTGTATACTGATTTGTATCACTACAATATAATAGTTATTACGGTGAAGTTGAATTTCCTGTCATTTATTCATCATACTCGCACGCACTTGTCTAGAAAAAAATATATCTCTGTACATTAACCTCAGTTTCAGGTAAAGAGATATGTTGTTTTTTTTCTGAGACAAGTGCTTTTGACCATCCTCAAGAACTTGTGGTCATCCGATGTTCAGTACTTCAGTACTTTGATTGAAATATACAATCTCACATGGTAGCCTATACATAGAGGGACCGTATCAAAAATAAAGAAAACTATCTGTATAAATGATCGAAATTTTTGAGATGTTCCAAGAATCTTGTTTCCGGGGACATCTGAATGGCCCATAGAAGTTACCAAAACTCACCAATATATAGGCGTGAACCCCCTGAGGGGTTCTCGCAAACATAGCAATAATTTCTGAATTTACAGTTTTTAATCCTTAGTTGAATTCCCTGCTCATATAAGCATCAATATTGCCATACAAATGATCATTTGTATTCTATATTGATGGTGTATGTACTAGGTTGTTTATCTAAAATAATGATTGTTTAATCTGTTATTGCCCCCAGTGGGTCCACATGATTAGTATAATAAAATATTTGATTTGATTTAAATTAATACTTGTATTCTGGCAATCAAATGGTCTGATATTATATAGATTCTGTTAATCTGTTTCTCATAAACAAAAGATCATATCATCATTGCAGTCTTCTGAAACTTCTCAACACATTGGAGATATTTTGTTTTTACACTTACATTTTACCACCCAGATCCTTGAAACCATGGAAATGTTACAGTGTAGTTGTTAACTTGCTTTTATGGAATTGTTTAATGATTTTTTTCAACCATTTTTCCTACAGTTTTCAACCCAGAACCTTAAAACTTCATGAAAGGTTGCACATCTATTTTGCACTGGCTATTATGAAATTGTTCGAGGAATTTTTCCAGATTTGGAATTTGGTCTTTCTACATTTACATTTAATGTTACCATAAACTGTAAATTCAGAAATTATTGCGAGGTTTTTATTATTGCGACAAATGCAACAGAGTTGTAAAAGCAATAATTTAAACTTGCATTGTGAAATATTTCATATGAACTAAACAGGATTTTTCTCAAAAACGTAAAAATTAAAATTGCATTTAAGTCTAAAATGACAAAATCGCAATAATAAATGCACGCAATAATTTCTGAATTTACAGTACTGTAAATTCAGAAATTGAAGCGTGCATTTATAATTGCAAATTCTTGACCATTGGCAAAAATTCAGAAACTTATTAATGAGATTGAAAATTATTTTATGAAGGAAAACCACTACTGAAATCATGAATATGAGTTTTATTATTGCTAACCTGAAATAAAACTGTCACATATTTTGCATTATTAAGAACATCACTATAATTTCTGAATTTACACGTTCATTTTAGAGAAACATTCTGTGCAACCCTTGCAATTTGAGACTTAGATCCTATTTTAATGCCCCTCGCTACATGCCCCACCCTAGCGGAGGGGGCATTAAGTTTTACCCTTGTCCGTCTGTACGTACATTCGTCCGTCCGTCCGTACGTCCCAAAATTGGTTTCCGTTCTCTAACTTTAGTTTGCCTCAACCAAATGTTATGAAACTTATACACAATGCTTATTACCACAAAACACAGATCAAGTTTGAATTTTGTTGGCGTCACTTTTACCGTTCTAGAGTTATGCCCCTTTACAAATGGAAAAATTGCTAAATTTTTCGTTTCCTTTCTCCAACTTTAGTTTGCCTCAACCAAATGTTATGAAACTTATACACAATGCTTATTTCCACAAAACACAGATCAAGTTTGAATTTTTGTGGCGTCACTTCTACTGATCTAGAGTAATGCCCCTTTACAAATGGAAAAATTGCTGGATTTTTCGTTTCTGTTCTCTAACTTAAGTTTTCCTCGACCAAATGTAATGAAACGTATACACAATGCTTATTACCACGAAACACAGATCAAGTAAAAATTTGGGTAGTGTCACTTTTACTGTTCTTGAGTTATGTCCCTTTACAAATGGAAAAATTGCTAAATTTTTCGTTTCCGTTCTCCAACTTTAGTTTGCCTCAACCAAATGTTATGAAACTTATACACAATGCATATTACCACAAAACACAGATCAAGTTTGAATTTTTGTGGCGTCACTTCTACTGTTCTAGAGAAATGCCCCTTTACAAATGGAAAAATTGCTGGATTTTTCGTTTCTGTTCTCTAACTTAAGTTTTCCTCGACCAAATGTAATGAAACGTATACACAATGCTTATTACCACGAAACACAGATCAAGTAAAAATTTGGGTAGTGTCACTTTTACTGTTCTTGAGTTATGTCCCTTTATAACATTATATGCAAGCGGGGGCATCATCTGTGTCCCATGGACACATTCCCCATTTATCTTCATGATGACATGCATGTATGGCATGTGACACTCTAATTGACTTTTATCTGTAGGTATACGTTGTATTTTTTTCTCAGATTTTAATTAAGGGTGCGGACATCAATATCCTCTGGACTCGCTATATATAGTTATATGGTTTATATAGCTTTATTTCATCTTCTCTTATAAAAAACAAGTCTATTAAACTTTTACTGATCCTTTTATTTTTGTTTCAGAGGACTATGGTTTGATTCCACATATGGAAATCTGCTGAAATGTGACCCATTTGGAAACATTATGGTCTGTGTTCATGGTTTCAAGTTCATGAATAGGTAAGTGATTCATTTTTATTTTCAATTAGATATTCGATTGAACAAGTATATTCAAGAAAACACTGTTACAGAAAACGAATGGTATGAATTCACATGTTCAATATATAAATAAATGTTAGTCCTTTCGTTCGTCCAAATAATATTTTCATCAAACTTTTCTCAGCAACTCCTAATCAGAATGACTTCATTTGTTGTCAGCAGCTTGACAGTGATGAGTTTTTACAGGTGTGAGCTTTTCAGATCTGTAAGACAACTACCGGAACTTCTTGTTTTCTGATACTTTTGAACAAAAAGTGGTGGTATACTTAGCAAGACAATACTTGTATTTATGTTAGTTTGAAATGTTAAATTCAAGCCATTTTTAAGATGTTGACATATTGTAATTGTTGAAGCCAAGCGGAGCGGGCATTAAGTTTTACCCTTGTCCGTCTGTACGTCCCATAGTTGGTTTCCGTTCTCTAACTTAAGTTTGCCTCAACCAAATGTTTTGAAACTTATACACAATGCTTATTATCACAAAATACAGATCAAGTTTGAATTTTGGTGGTGTCACTTTAACCGTTCTAGAGTTATGCCCCTTTACAAATGGAAAAATTGCTGAATTTTTCGTTTCCATTTTATGAAACTTATACACAATACTTATTACTACAAAACTCAGATCAAGTACAAATTTTGGTAGCGTCACTTTTACTGTTCTTCAGTTATGTCCCTTTATAACTTAATATGATATGCAAGTGGGGGCATCATCTGTGTCCCATGGACACATTCCTCATTTATTTTAGTCATACTTGAAGATATTGATTTGATAATTGGTATATAGTTTTATCATGAAAGCTTCAGATCAAGTTCGAATTTTGTTCCGGTCTGATTATTTTGTGCAGAGTTATGGTCCTTGGACTTAGAAAATTCACTTTAATAATCAGCTTTCCACACTTTTTTTTGTCATGCTTGAAGATATTGACTTGATATTTGTTATAAAGTTTACACCATGACAAGTTATAGATCAAGTTAGCACTTTGTTCCAGTACAATGAATTTTTAACCGGTAGGGAACTATGTATTGCCATGCAATACTCTCAGAAAACTTGTTTAAAACATCTTTTATTTGCACAACTTGTTTAGGATCACCAGCTTGTATTAATAAGTTTATAAAAAAGTGGCAGAAGACAACAAAGAGACAATCAAGAATAATTCCAGGAGAAACCAGCGATATCCTGGCAAAAAAAAAAGAAAAAGAAAAAAAAAAGAAAGACAACAATCCACAAAGCACTACAAAGATCTGTATTAGTACAGTGTGATCATCTTTGACCTGTATATTGTATAAACAACAAGTTGTATTTTGGTGAAAAAAGGCATAAACAAAAGCTTATCTTCTCCATTCATAAATTCATAAAGCGTTTGATATGACATATTCTGTCATAACCCTGTAGGACTTCTATATAGATACATGTGGTATGAAACATAAACTGAGGCTGCTGTTGAAAATTATGATGAGAAAATTTCTCATAAAGGCACTTTTTCATAAAATTATGATTGGTGTGCTTTGTTTTGGAGGAAGTCATAACTTATCTTACACAATTTCAAGAGTAGAAGGTGCGAATAATTGTTCATTAGATGAGTTTAGCAAACGTTTGTTACGATGAAGCAGAAAGAAGCAATATGGCTATGTACTATAGAAGATCACAAAATCCATAGAAAGAGCTACTTGATATATCTATTTTAGTGTTTAACACCTGTCAGTCATATGGAATTCATTTATGAACTCTGAAAACTTCAGTTTGTTTTGTTTAGAAATTGCATATTTCATGAAAAGTCATTTGTTTATTTAAGAACAGCTCTTGGGTCATAGAAATAAAGCCGAAATAAATTAAAAATTTCACATAAATCTCTGCCAGTGTTTGAAGACTTTTACATATTTGCTTATGAATTTTTTTTTCTCAATTAGTTGAAATCATTCCTAGTAAATTAAATTCGACGGTAATGCTCTTCTGTTAGTGTTTTATGATATACAAATATAGTTAATTCAGTCACTTTTTTTCCAGTTTATTTCAACATGTCTAACTGTAGACCATTTATATATTTCACATCAATTTTACACAATGTGTTGGGGAAATAGAAATAGGATATTTTATTGCTTAAAATTCCATTTTCTCCATTTAATTCTAACGAGAAAAATGCTTTTTATTAATCAAAATAGTGATTTTTTACAAAAAAAGAAAACAATACATTATTAATTTCATGTGTCTGAAGCGCTTTTCTGGATTTACCTATATCAGGAATGCTCACAGCTAAATATTTGAAAGTCAAAGATGTATAAGAACCGAAACAGTTGAAGAGCTATACATGTATAACCAAAATGGACCTAAGAAAATAGCCAAATCCATCGAAGGTCAACTTTACAAATGAGTATTTCTGTGTAAAGAATAGCCAATATTATTGCTATGAATAAAAAAGGACTTTGGGTATTAGTCTATTTGAATAAGAACATGGCTTTTTTTCCAAATAGAAAGAAGAACATCATAATATAATTTGCATTATAATGGATGAAGCCAATGATCAAGCAGAATCCACTGCAGCAATATATGATAGAAATAAAGTATGGTCAAGCAGGAACCTGAAAATAAGGATATTTTATATGGAGCTTGTTGATTGATTGATTGTTGGTGTTTAAGGCCACTTTCAACTCTCTTGGCTATATCATGAGGACAGTTTTATTGGTGGAGGGAGTTGGAGTGCCTGGAAAGGACCATGACCTTCCATAGGAAAATTGGCAATACTAGTCAAGATTGCAGTCAAACATACCTTGTATGAGTAGTTCAAATTCACAACCTTAATGTGACTGGCTTAAGTGATCACTGTAGATGATCTACTTTGACAACACGTCACAAAAGCCCCTTAGAACTTGTTATAATGTCATTTCAAATGTTTAGTGAGAGATGGAATAAGATTTATTCTAGTAAATGGTCCTTCTTGACTGGACTGAATAACATGTACCTATCAGAATATTTGAAGGATCTTATATTGAAAACGTCTTGAATATTGTTCATGTGCCTTCAACCCCTCTGGGTATAAATGTGGATTTCTACAATAAATAGATTTATAGGCAATGTGTTCTTGATTCTCAAGTTTTTTTGTTTTGCCACAAAACCTTGACACTCAGGAATACATTTGTACAAATTTAATGACTGCATGTAATGACATCACATGTTCTAAGTTATATAATGTGTTTGCTTTGTCATTGTATGTTTTTTTTTTCTTTATTAGCACCTGCATCTAATTAGTTTGGTACAGTCCTTCTTTTTAAAGTGCTCAGTCATTATACCTGAAAAAGAAATGTTATTTTAATGATTGATAATTAGTCAGAATTGCTTTTATAGATATTTAATTTTTATCCTTTGCATAATGGTGACAGGCTGAAGTATTTTCGATGATGGATTTATCATTTATTTCACATCAAACAAATGGTCAAAGCTTAACACCTGTGTCCACTGACCATGCAGTAACCTTGACCATTCAAATCAAGGTGTGCTACAATCTTCTTTTGTTCAATTAGCAAAAACTTCAAAATAAATGTAGAAAATAAATGATATATTTGATGGTGATAACAGTGTCCTTCCTGTTGGCTGTATAAAAGGTCTAGTTTTGACTATTGATTTGCCGTGTGAAAGAAGTCTTTTGTCCATTTGTTTATCTCCAATACTTACAGTGGAACTTTTTAATACTACCTCTATCACGCCCTATTAATGGCTATCACTAAAGCAGATATATTAGGATCTGTGTTATAGATTGCCATTTAATACAATTGTTTATGCTATCGTGTACAGCAGATTTTTGTCTGCGGTTCAAAGTGTCATTGAAATACAATGGATTTTGCAATGTGTCCTACAGATTTTAATCTGTGTTACCTATTCCATCTGCTATACACATAGCTGGTAATAGGGTGTGTCTATCTATTTACGCAACCAGGATGTGAGACAGGTGTAAAATGTCTTTGAATTCGCAGTTTTCACTGGTAAATTCTATGATTTTCAATGACTTTGCATATGCCTCCAGCTTCCCAAGGAACTAGCGCTCTGCAGTTAAAGTCTAAAGTTTGACATGAATAACACAACCAAATCAAGTCTCAGAAAAAAAAGAATTATCCCTTTTATTTGTTTGGAAGTAGAAAATGTACATATATTATATAATAATATGGTATGATTGCCAATGAGACAAATAGCCACACTAAAGTTGTGGATGTAAGCAATTATAGGTCGCTGTACGACCTTCAACAATGAGAAAACTCAGACATGAAAAATGTGAAATGATTGATACAAGAAAACTATCTGTCTAATTTATAACAATTCAATTTACGGAAAATTGAATATGACAGACCTGAACCAAGGACAACCACTAAATTTCAGGCTCCTGACTTGGGACAGAAACATAAAGAATTTGGCAATATTAAGCATGTTTGTAAGTTTTCAGCCCTCCCCTATATGCAGTTCTTTGCTGTTTTTACTATTTCCTATCAAGAACCAACATATTTTTATGCAGTTTTAACTTGAGAAGATTTTTTATTTGTTTAAATAATGCTTCTATATTTTAATACATTTCTGAAACCATCTGTTTGTTTGGTTTAAAGTTTTTCTATTTCTTTGTGGCTATTCATCTGTTGTTATAAACTATAAATGTGCAGTGCAGTATTTTCCCTTGGACTGTTTGTCTCAATAGTACTGCTTCCATCTGCGATGAAAAACAATTTTGGGCTGAAAGATGTACACTTTATACTGAATATACTGTAGACTTGGATATTTTCCAGGGATTTTGTTTTTTTAATATGAATGCATGAATTTTTCATCTGAGGGATTAAATTCATGCATACAATGCTAACTGAGCCCTTCACATCAATATCGGTGATTTGTGCAACAACTATTGACCAATCTCAAGTTGTTTTTTTATGAATGAATTTCACAGGTTGACGTTATTGAGTAATTTTGGTAAGGTTTATCAAGCTATAAA